AAGAAAAAATAATAAAAACATAGTCTCACTCTGGATGCTAATTAACCGAGGTGCTTGAGTGCAATATATAGCATGCCCGTGGCCACAGACAATGGGATGGTGAGGGCCTGGGATGCGGGGTGGGGTGGGCTGCAGGGGGCCAATGGGGGGAAGAGGGGGACATTTGTAATACTTCCAACAATAAAGAATTATTTTTTGTTTAAGTTTTGTTTTAATTATAAAGGGGTGTTGAATTTTGTTAAATGCTTTTCTTTTTGCATTTATTGAAATGATCATGTATTTTTTGGAAATATTTAAAATCTGGGTTTATGAAATATCAGTGTACACTGGCAGCATACTCACACCACTGTCATTCAGGGGAGAAATGGGCCTCTTGCATTGCAGAGGAATCCACTTTTTCCATTAAAATAAGATAATTTATAAATGTGAGTAGATAATTAAGGCTCACTAGAAATTTAAAAGGAAATAATCAGCATGAATAGAAGGACACCATGAAAAACAAACAACTTGCCCCTAAGGGAAAAACAAGTAATTCAGTAAACATTCCTCAGGTAAAGACAGGAGGCCACAGAAAAGGGGTAGGACCTGGGCATCTCTGTGGTGGTGTTTCACACGTTCTCCAATCCTCTGTATTTGTGATCCTGATAGTTGCTAGTTGAATCTAGACTAGAGGCTTAATCAGATTCAGGTTTAGTGTTTTGGGCAGTACTCATACACTTGTGGGGATGTGTTCTTCCATCAGGAGAAACATTGACTGCTTGTCTTCTTTTGTGGTATGAGCAGCCAGTGGTACCCAGTGCATCAATTCCATACTTAGTTAGGGCCTTCTATTTTTTTAAAAAAATTTTTTTTCAATTACAGTTTACATTCAATGTGCTAGTTTCAGAATGATGGTTAGACGATATGGTTTACATAGTGGTCCCTCCAATATTTTGAATATCTACCTGGCACCATACCTAGTTATTACAATATTATTGGCTACATCCCTATGCTCTACTTGACATCCCCGTAACTATTTTGTGACTACTAATTTGTATTTCTTAATACCTTCACCCTTTTCACCCAGTCCCCTAACTCTCCCACCCCTCTGGAAACCATCAGTTTGTTCTGTATGTCTATCAGTCTTTCTATTTTGTTCTATTCATTTATTTTGCTTTATAGATTCCACATATAAGTGAGATCATGGTATTTTTCTTTCTTTGTCTGACTTATTTCACTTAGCATAATACATTCTAGGTCCATTCATGCTGTTGCAAATGGTAAGATTTCATTCTTTTTTAAAATAAAACTATGTTTTATTGATTTTTAGAGAGAGAAAAACATCAAACTGAGAGAGAAACATCCATCAACTGCCTACTCTATGCAACCTGAACCTGCAGTCTGGGCATGTACCGTTATTAGGATTCAAACTGGCAACTTTTTGATGCACGGGATGATGCTCAACAACTGAGCCACACCGGCCAGGGCAGATTTCATTCTTGTTTATGGCTGAGTAATATTCCATTATAGATATGTACCACAGCTTTTTTTATCCACTCGTCTTGGCCACTTGATGTGAGAGAGAAATACCAATTTGCTGCCTCCTGCATGCTTCCACTGGGGATCGAGCCTTGCAACTGGGCATGTGCCCTGACCAGGAATTGAATCAGCGACATTTTGGTGCATGGGATGACACTCAACTCACTGAGCAACACTGGCCAGGGCCTCTGCCCACTTTTTAATTTGATTGTTTGTTTTTTTGATGTTGAGTTGTATTACTTTTTTAAAAATATATATTTTATTGATTTTTTACAGAGAGGAAGAGAGAGGGATAGAGAGTTAGAAACATCGCCTCTTGCACACCTCCTACTGGGGATGTGCCTGCAACCAAGGTACATGCCCTTGGCCGGAATCAAACCTGGGACCTTTCAGTCCGCAGGCTGACGCTCCATCCACTGAAGCAAACCGGTTAGGGCAGTTGTATTACTTCTTTATAAATGTTGGATATTAACCCCTTATTGGATGTATCATTGGCAAATATCTTTTCCACTCAGTAGGCTGTCTTTCATTTTGTTGAAGGTTTCCTTCGTTGTGCAAAAACTTTTTAGTTTGAGGTATATCATAAAATATATGGCTCAAAGGAATGTCCAAGATTTTACTGCCTATGTTTTCTTCTAGGACTTTTATGGTTTTGAGTCTTATATTTGAGTCTTTAATCCATTTTGAGTTTATTTTTATATACAGTGTAAGCAGATGGTCTAGTTTCAGTTTTTTTTGCATGTATCTGTTCCTTTTTTCCCAGCACCATTTGTTGAATAGACTGTCTTTACCCCATTGTATGTTCTTATCTCCTTTGTCATATATTAAGTGGCATGTAAGTGTGGTTTTATTTCTGGGCTTTCTATTCTGTTTCATTGATCTATGTGTCTGTTTTGATTATTATAGCATTGTAGTATAGTTTGATATCAGATAATGTGACACCTCCAACTTTGCTCTCCTTTCTCAAGATTGCTGTAGCTATTTGGATCTTTTGTGGTTCCACATAAATTTTTAGATTTTTTCTAGTTCTGTAGAGAACACCATTGGTATTTTGATAGGAATTGCATTGAATCTATAGATTCCTTTGGGTATTATGGACTTTTTTCTTTAAGATTTTTTATTGATTTTTACAGAGGGAGGAAGAGAGAGAGAGAGAGAAATATCGATGAGAGGGGAAACATCGATCAGCTGCTTCTTGGCATGCCCCCACCAGGGATCAATTCCCCAACCCCAGGATGTGCCCTGACCGGAAATGGAACTGGCAACCTCTTGGTGCATGGGTTGACACCCAACCACTGGGCCACGTTGGCTGGGTTGGAATTTTTTTATTTTTTTTTTTTAAAATGTTTTATTGATTTCAGATCAGAAGGGAGAGGATAGAGAGTTGTCAAGATGCATAGAATGATCCCTGACTACAGGCATTTATCATCTGGTGGGAGAAGGAAACTGTTATGCAACATAACATAATGCAGGTTCTTAAAATAGAGTACAATGCCATGGAAGAGGAAAAGAATAAGGACATAATGATCGCAAGGTCAAGGGGGGTCCTTCCAGGGCAGGAAACATTTCACTTAGGCCTTGTAGAATGAGGTGTGGGAAAGGAGGAAGCCATGGCATGTTCAGGATGAGGGAGCTGCCAAATCACTAAAAAAATTGTTTTTATTTTTGCTGCTTTGATTGGGTGTTTTATGCTACCTTGCCTTGCGAATTGTTGATTCGATTTTCTGCTTCATCCAACCTACTGTTTAGTCCTTCTATTGTAGTCTTAATTTTAGATATTGTAGTCTTCATTTCTGACTGGTTCTTTTTGTGGTTTCTATGTCGCTTTTTATGCTTATTATCTCTTTGTTGAAGTTCTCACTACTGAGTTCATCCATTCTTCCTCTAAGTTCCTTGAACATCCTTATAACCATTGTCTTGAACTGTGTGTCTGGTAGATTGCTTGCCTCTATTTCATTTAGTTCTTTTTCTAGAGATTTCTCCTGTTCTTTCATTTGGGGCATGTTTCTTTGTCTCCCCATTTTATCTGCCTCTGTGTGGTGGGGTAGGAGTTCTGTGTATTAGGTAGATCTGCTTTGTCTGCCAGTTTTGGTAGAGTGGCCTTATGTATTAGGTATCCTGTGGGGCCCAGTGGTGCAGTATCCTTGATCACCTGAGCTGGGTGCTCCACAGGTGTTCTTTGCCTGGGTTATGAGTCCTCCTGTTGTAGTTGAGTCTTGATTACTGTTGGCCCATCTGTGGGTGGGGTTGACCCTCAGGCTGTCTGACTGTGAGGATTGACCCCAACCACAGTATATGAGCTATTGTGCAGGGGGCTGACCCTATGAAGCAGAATTTGTCCCAGTAGGGTCTGGTGCTTGCCGAGATCTTCCTTTGGATGTGCCTTTTGTGGAACTAATCAGGTGGTGTTCTTTTGTGCTTTGAAGCCAGCTCCAGGGTGTGTTGGTTCTGGGGCCTCTTGGGAGAGACTCATGTGCAGGTCAATGTCAGATGCTGCCTGTGACCTGAGGTGCCTGGTAGGAGCTACAAAGCAATCCACAGGTGATGGCTGCTTCTGTCTGGGACTGGATGCATGTAGTAGGGGCCAGCCCTTTTTGTGTCTCTGACCTTCTTACCAGTCTTGGTCTGGCTATTCTATAAATCCTTGGTTATAAGACTTCTCTTCAGCTAGTCTTCAGTTTGTTATTCAGGTTGATTGTTCTATAATTTAATTGTAATTCCAGTGTGTTCCTAGAAGGACTTGAGTATAACTTCTACCTACTCCCTGCCATCTTGGATCCCTGTTTGTCTATTAATTTAAAATCAACCGAAGGACTTGTATGCATGCATATAAGCATAATCAATGGACGTAAGACACTGGGGGTTAGGGGGTGAGGGCATGTGCCGGGGGGCAGGGGAGGCCGGGGGGAGGTCAATGGTGAAAAAAAGGAGTCATATGTACTACTATTTGTAATACTTTAAACAATAAAATAAAATTTTAAATAATTTCAAAAAATTGGCTTTAAGAAGAAAAAGGGAAATATTAAGTATATGCACAGGTTTAAATTAAAGGAACCAAATTTATGCTAATTCTAAAATGATCTGAACTCATCCCTCTGCTACAGCAATTGAGCCAGTTTTGGTACAGTCCGGAAACTGCTTTGCGCCTTGCTAAGGAAGTGACTGCGGCTGCTGGGGAAGGTGGAAGGTGAGATTCAAATTTTGTTTCTTTTTTGTTTAATCTAAATTAATATTTTCAATGTCCTTCCTCGATGAGAGATGGTTTGTAAGAAGTCTGACTCATAATCTGCAAAGTTTGTAGTTCATGATTTATAGAATATGAGGAATAAGAACTGCTATAATAACAAGTTTAGGGGCACCCAGAAATGTATGCATTGTAGGATGTCTTATCTCTGTCCTGTATTTTAATATTTGCTAACCTGCTCCTTACTTTTATACCCTTACAGTTTGTTTTAAGAGAAAAAAATCTTAATACTTGACTTTTTGAAATTTTAAGAATGTAGGTTTTCTTTTTTTTTAACTTGGTTTTCATTTTTATCAAGACTTTACATGCATAGCCCTGGCCCAGTGGCTCATTTGGTTAGAGCATTGCCCCATACACCTAGAGGTTGTGGGTTCCATTACCAGTCAGGGCACATACCTAGGTTGTGGGTTCAATCCCCAGTCAGGGCGCATACAGGAGCCAACCAATTTTCCTCTCACATTGATGTTTCTCTCTCTCTCTTGCTCTCTCCCTGCCTCTCTCTCTAAATCAATAAACATATCCTCGGGTGAGGATAAAAATCCACAAAACTTTACATGCATGTAATTGAACATCGAATGGTCCTAAAAAGCTGGTTCAGACTTTATTACTTCCACAGATGTGCATGCTTTCTGTCCATGCTCCCAATAGTATTGTTTCCAGATTTGGGTTATAACAGGGTTCATATTGTTCTTTACAGCTGAACCTTTTACTTTTTTCTTATTGTAAAATTATGTTTTCTATTTTTTTATGTGTTTCTATGTCCATATCACCTACTAACCATCAAATTCTTCCCCAGTTATGCATATCTCCTATCTATAAATGCAAAAATATTTCAACTCCTTGAAAAATATTACCTCATGGCTTTACCAAGCTGGTTGATTTCTAGCTTTGTTACAGTTCTTATCTTGGTATCTTTCTTCACCATCATGCTCATAGTCCTTTTTCCTCTCTTTTATTTTGGATTTCCAGTTTCCTATACCCCAGTCCTCATTTTGCAGCCTTAATCTGGGTTAGGTCCATCCTTCAATAGCTTCCACAAAAAAGATATGTGGGAAGGGAATTTTTCAAACCTTTCATTTCTGGCTCTAGCTGGTTTGGCTCAGTGGATAGAGCGTCAGCCTGCAGACTGAGGGGTCCCGGGTTCGATTCCAGTCAAGGGCACATGCCTGGGTTGCGGGCTCCATCCCCAGTGGGGGATGTGCAGGAGACAGCCAATCAATGATTCTCTCTCATCATTGATGTTTCTATCTCTCTCTCCTTCTCCCTTCCTCTATGAAATAAATTAAAAAATATTTTTAAAAACACCCTTTCATGTCTGAAAATGCCTTTATTCCACTCTTACTCTCAATTGTAATAGTTTTGCTGGGTATGTAATTCCAGGTTTTGAGGACATTGCTTCCTGGCCTCCAAGTATCCATAGGTGCTGTTGAGAAATCCCATGCTGTTCTGAGTTCTTGCAGGAAACCCATTTTTTCCTTGCTCAGTGCAAACTTGGTTTTTTTTCTTAATTCCTAATATTTGATGTGTCCTGGTGTAGAGTATTCCCCTCTCGTGCTGGGTGGGGAGCTCTTTCAATCTCATTTCCTTCAGTTTGGGAAAACTGTCTTAAGCCTATTTCCTCCCCCACTGTTTTTTCTCTTCCTCTTTCTAGAACTCCTGTTATTTGAATGTTGGACCTGATCTACTTTCCTTACTGTCTTCTTTTCCACCTGTTGTCTTTTTTACCTTACTTTCTGGGAATATTCCTCAACTTTATTTTCTAAATTCTCTGCTGAGTTTACCATTTCTGTTGTCATATACATATTCATTTACAGCTCTCTTTTGGGGTCTCTGAATATATATTTATTTATTTTAAACTTTATTGATTGATTTTTAGAAAGAGAGGAAGGAGGAGAGGGAAACATCTATTTATTGTTCCACTTATTATTGCATTCATTGGTTGTGATGAATATTCATTATTTTATCTTGTTTATCCTTCTGAGGATATTAATTACAAGATTTTTTTAAAAGTTTTCTTCTCCCCACTTAATCTGCTTACTACAATGTGCCTTTTCTGTTCATTTATTTTGGTCTCTAATATTAAATGTTTTCCTTGAATGTCCATTGACCTTCACCGGCCACTCAGATTATGTCGGAAAGCTGTGACACATGGCAGAACTTTCTTGCTTAATCTCTGCAGTTGGATGACCTAGGGGAGCTATTCCTAGGGAATCCCAGTGTCACTCTGAGTCTTTTCCTCTGGGGCTGGTCAGAGCTCTAGGAAGAGTCTTCTAATTCTTCCCTGGAAGTTATGTGTGTTGTGACATCATCTGGGGGACCACATTACTGAGAGGGCTGAAGGCCCTAGCATCCAGTGGGTTTAACTTAATCCTTGTCATTGCCACACTGTACCACATTACTAGTTGTGCTGGCACTCCCTTTTTGTCCCCCAATCCAGAGACCATCCCTCCAGGTTTCTATCTCCTGGGAGGAGGAGGAGAGTCTTGGGAATTACTGTCTGCCTACATGGACCTTCAGCAGCTTCTTGAGTTACTGGTCTGCAGATCCTGAGCCTTGGGTGCGCTGATGGAGATAAGGTTGCTCCCCAGCTTTCCTGGCTGCCAGTTCAGGATTTGGTGTTTGGGTCTGCCAAGTCAGATAGCATTCTCCACTGTTTTCCAGCTTTCTATGTGTGTTTCTTTTGTCTCTTCTCACATTCTCTTTCTCTTCTTGGCTTCAACAACAAAACAGAATCTTACTTGTGGTATATTGAGTGGACTTCATGAAGGTGCAAATCTACATTCCCATCCACCATCTTTAACTAGAAGTCCCAAGTTTCTCTTTTTTTTTTCTGTTTTCTTTTTAAATCACATGTAGTTGTTTATTAGGTTTTTCTCAATGACAGTGTTTTTTATACATTTTTTTTCTTTTTTCCGTTAATATGAGGGCTTCGGATGCAACTTTTAATTTTTTCTGACAGGCATCTTCAGAGAGGAAGGGAGAGAGAAAGATAGAAATACCAGTGATGAGAGAGAATCATTGATCAGCTGCCTCCTACACACACCCCCTACTGGGGATCGAGCCCGCAACCCAGGCATGTGCCCTTGACTGGAATCGAACCTGGGGCCCTTCACTCCACAGGCGCACGCTCTATCCACTGAGCCAAACCAGCTAGGGCAATAATCTTAAAGATGAGTAAAAGTGGGAGCATTTATTGAGTAATTGCTGCCTGTCCTGTCCTCTGTGTCAGCAGTTTATGAGGGTCACCTTGTTTAGTTCTCACACCCCTGTGAGGTAGTTACCATTAGATTCTCTATTCTAAAGACAGAGCTGAGGCTCAAGAGATTCAGCCACTTGCACAAGGAAACTTAGGAGTGAGTTGCCCTAGGACCCCACCATGACAAACCCCATTGTCCCCCTGGGTTCACCACACTCTGCTCCCTCCTTCTTGCATCTGAGACACTTTTCTGCTGCCTTGTACATCCTTCAGAATATTTTAGAGAAATTCTGCTTGGCAACAAGCTCAGATTTAGTTGGTCTGAAACTACCTTTATTTCATCCTCTTTCTTGGGTGATAGTTCATTGTGCATATGATTGCTGCTTGTTATCCCCGCACAGTGAAGACATCTGGCCCTCTACCTTCACTCTCCCTCCTTTCCCCCAAACTCTGGCAGCATCCTGGGCTGAAGCTCTGATTGCCCCTGTCACCCAGACGGACATGCACATTTTCCACAGATGCATATGTGCCATCATCAGGCTGTTACATACTTCAAGAGTTTTTGGACCAAGCAGCCTATCTAGCTAGCTTGGGTGCCTAATGTGCACGTGTACAGAAATGACCCTCACAGGTTTAAGGCTGAGTTTAATTTTTAAAAGTACTGTTTTGAATGATAATATATATGCATGATAAATATCTAAAAGTTCTAAAGGGGATTGAGAAAATGTTATCCTCCTTCCTCATTATCTCCAGGCCCCCAGTTCTCCTCCTGTGAGGCAGCCATGGTCTCTGGCTCTTGTGCCTCTGAGCATATTTTCTCACACTCATGCAAATGTCTTTTTGCCCCTTGTGTTCCTGGAGTGTCTTGGGGGTGTGATGTTACATAACATTCCATTGTAACAGATGGACCACAATCAACTCAATAGTTCAGTATTTATTTCTAGCTTCTTTCGCAGTTGGTTTTAAAAGTTAACTATTGGGCCCTGTCCGGTGAGCTCAGTGGTTAGAGTGTCAGCCCATGCACCAAAGAGTCTCGGGTTCGATTCCTGGTCAAGGGCATGTACCTGGGTAGTAAGTTCAATCCTCGGTTGGAGCGAGGCAACCAATCGATGTCTTTCTCCCATCTCTCTCTCTCTCTCTCTCTCTCTCTCTCTCTCTCTCTCTCTCCCTCTCTCTCTCATCTCTCTCTTTTTCTCTGTCTCCTCTTCATTCCCTCTCTTTCCACTCTCTCTAAACATCAATGGAAAAATATCCCTGAATGAAGATTAACAAAAAAAGAGTTAACTATTGGGACAGTGCTTACCTGTTCATAAACTGTAGGCTGCTGGTAATAATTTCCTTATACAGAAAAGCAGCAGAGCCCTAGCTGGTGTGGCTCAGTAAATAGAGCGTCAGCCTGCGGACTGAAGGGTCCTGGGTTTGATTCCGGTCAAGGGCACATGTCTGGGTTACAGGCTCGATCCCCAGTAGGGGGCGTGCAAGAGGCAAATAATCAATGGTTCTCTCTCATCATTGATGTTTCTCTCTCTCTTCCTCTCCCTTCCTCTCTAAAATCAATAAAAATATATATATTTTTAAAAAGCTGCAGAAATTTAAAGTAGCTTTTCTGTACTGAGACCTCATTTTAATGTATTTTTTTTGAAAACTGGAGTTGCTAAAGCAGTTATTTGGGGTTTTCCTCTCAAGATTATGAATATCACGAAGTAACTTCAAAATATTTAGTTTGAGATTAACAGTATTTGACGTAAATGTTAAAGGAACGTGAAATAGGTAAATTTAGACTTTGGGCTACCTGATTTTGCCTTTATATGTTCCTAATGTTTTACATTTTTTACTATAAAGAGCACGTGTATCACTTTTGTACCTTAACATTATGAGTTTCAGATTTTTAAATACCAGATTCCTTAAAAGTGAGGCATTTTGTTTTCTCTCACAATTTACTGCTGTCACGTTAGTTGCAGTGTTATTTCCTTTAGGAAGATGTGTGCCTAGGACCTCTGGTGTTTAGTGAAGTTGTCTAACGTTGGAAGCTGTCTACCGGAGCTCTTTGTGCACATATTCACTTTGTTTTCCAGGGTGGCCTGTGTGAGCACCCCTAGTGTTTACCAGAAACTGAGAGAGCTGCACAGAGAAGACTTGGCTGTATACCTCTTTGAGTATGACAGAAGATTCTCCATTTATGGAGAGGAGTTTATCTTCTATGATTACAATAATCCACTGGACTTCCCTGTAAATATTGCCCATCATAGTTTTGACATTGTCATAGCGGATCCCCCCTATCTTTCTGAGGAATGTCTCAGGAAAACCTCAGAAACCATCAAGTACCTGACTCAGGGCAAGATTCTGCTGTGCACAGGTAGGTGCTGGCCTGCCATCTCATAAAGGTTGATAATGGTGGATATTCAAGCCTCAGCTGTCAAGAGTTGAAAGATCTTAGAACTCACATCCTGAATCTACCACTTGTTGTGTGACCATAAACAGGCTTTGTAACCTCTCTCTGCCCCCGTTTCCTCATCTGTGAATATGGGGCTGGTAATGCTGCCTGACTTCCAGTGTTGGAGGACTGAGTGCCTGACACACATTGGGTGGGATTGCATGTGGTGAATATTCATCATGGTCGTCATCATTAGTTAAAGTAGCCTCTGCACTTGATGTTGAATCTGTGGCGTTAACGTGGATTGCCTGGGGTTACAAGTTAGGCATTAGATCGGGTTTGTTATAGCAGAACAGTGTTCTTTCCGGGGAGATTGAGATACACTATTTTCTTAAGATGGATGTAGTGAAATCTGACACAGAACTAAAACTATAACTACCTCTATGGTCTGGGCAGCCTGGTGTCCAGGCCCTGAGTGCAGTCCCCTGCTCCTGTACCCAGCCTGTGGCCGTGCTTCTGCCTGGAGCACCCTGGGCTGAGCAGTGGAGCTGTTCTTCTGGTTGTCGAGTTGTAGACTTAGTCAAAAACACAACTCTTGTTCACACAACTAGTATTTACTTATTAATGCATAGCTGTGACTAGCCCTTTGTGCCAGCTGACAGGCAGATTGCCTGACCTCATGGAGCATACATTTGGTTTTAGGGGACAGATTAAAAAATGTAATACAACAGAAGAAATGAATTCCTAATTTTGATAAGTATATGAAAAAAATCAGAGAAAGACAGGCTGGCATAGAGTCAGGGGGCTGTACTTCAGATCCACGAGTTCTCTGGGCTGAGCTGCATTGCAGCAGTGGCCTCAAGGGGAGTTCGATGAGAGGGCCCCAGCAGGTGCTGGTGAGAGTTGAAATTTTCTTTTACAGTGTCCAGCCCCAAAGGAACAAGATCCAATTTGTCTAAACAAGTTCACTTTAACTTTGTACCAAAAAGATTTATGGGGGTGAGTGGACGTAGCTCTGGATGAGGTTGGAGAGGAAACTAAAAGAATGTGCTGTGCTCTGCATGTGGGAAGTGAGAAAGGGGAGAATCCAGGATGAGTCCTGGGTTCCTACCTGTGCAGCACTTGCTATCATAGGCATCGAGGAACAGGTGCTTGGCAGCATCTGGGGTGATATCCACAGCGGTGGGCAGTGCAAGACAGGCAGTGGGGTGAGGAAGGGGGTCTGAGGGAGAAACAGTTTGGTCATCCAAAGGTTGATGTGAATATATTCCTATGAGTTTACAAGATTGGATATTACTGAAAAGGGGATTCTTTGTTTTTAACATTGTTTAAAGTATTACAAATAGTAGTACATATGTCTCCTTTTTCCCCCATTGACCTCCCTTACCCCCTGGCACATGCCACACCTCCCTCCCACCCCCATCCCCAGTGTTTGTATCCATTGGTTATGCTTACATGCATGCATAAAAATCCTTCGGTTGATCTCTTACACCCCCCCCCCCCCCCGCAACCCTCCCCTGCCTTCCCGCTGTAGTTTGACAGGCTGTTCGATGCTTTTTTGTCTCTGTATCTATTTTTGTTCATCAGTTTATGATGTTCCACAAATGAGTGATATCATGTGATATTTATCTTTCTCTGACTGGGCTTATTTCACTTAGCATAATGCTCTCCATGTCCATCCATGTTGTTGCAAATGTAAGAATTCCTTCTTTTTTACAGCAGCGTAGTATTCCATTGTGTAGATGTACCACAGTTTTCTAATCCACTCATCTGCTGATGGGCACTTAGGCTGTTTCCAGATCTTAGCTATTGTAAATTGTGCTGCTATGAACATAGGGGTGCATATATCCTTTCTGATTGGTGTTTCTGTTTTCTTGGAATATATTCCTAGAATTGGGATCACTGGGTCAAATGGCAGTTCCATTTTTAATTTTTTGAGGAAACGCCATACTGTTTTCCACAGTGGCTGCATCAGTCTGCATTCCCACCAGTAGTGCAAGAGGGTTCTGAAAAGGGGATTCTTGATCAAAGTGGAAAACCAGGTTTTTTTCTTTCTTTTAAAAAGGCATTACAATATTTTATTTTATTTTGTATTGTTTTTTAAAATCCTCATCCAAGGATATGTTTTTATTGATTTTAGGGAGAGGGAGGGAGGGAGGAGGAGGAGAGGAGAGGGAGAGAGGGGGAGGGGGGGGAGAGAGAGAGAGAGAGAGAGAGAGAGAGAGAGAGAGAGAGAGAAACATCAATATGAGAGAGAAACATTGATTGGTTGCCTCCCGTATGCATCTAACTAGGGATCAAATTCACGACCTAGGTATGTGCTTGACCAGGAATTAAATCTGCAGTCTTTTGGTGTACAGGGCAATGCTCCAACCAACTAAGCCACCCAGCTAGGGCAACACCAGTTTTTATTTATTTATTTACTAAATTTATTGGGGTGACATTGGGGAAACCTGCACCTGAAACAGATAGGTTTCAGGTGCAGGTTTCCATGTTACAAAACCAACAGTTTTTAATACTTATTCTTGCTTTCCTTAAATTACTTAGTAGGATATAATCTATTTCCAAGACACTTGAAGTGTCTTAGCTTTGTAGAGACAGGAAAACTATTAAATAAGAAAGAAAAGGAAGAAAGTAAGTAAATTTCAAAAATGTTGGAAAAGTAAAGAGGAATATGAAGAACTGACCTCCACCCTCATTTGCTGAGTGGTATTGTCACGTTGTGCCAGGGCCCAGGGTGCATGGTTGTATTTATCTTCTGGTTCATCTGGTCTGTTCTCTTCAGGTGCTGTCATGGAGGAAGAGGCAACAAAACTTCTTGGTGTGAAGACGTGCAAATTTATTCCAAAGCACACCCGGACCTTGGCAAATGAGTTTCGCTGTTACGTGAATTATGACTCTCAGCTAGACCATGATGTGTAAATGTAGACAGTGTATAATGCAGGACAGGACACTGTGTGACATTCCCCTCTTTATTTTCTTAGTAGGTTGTGAAGCTATGCACTCGGTCATCACACTTTTGGATAATTTAAAATTGACTTAAAAGATCACTCAGTATTGTCCTTGGCTGGCTTGCTCAGTGGTTACAGCATTGGTCTGTGGTCTTGGGTTTGGTTTCCAGTCCAGGATGCGTACCTGGGTTGCAGGTTCGATTTTTTTCTCTGTCCCCCTCCTCTCTCCCTTCCACTCTCTAAAAGCAATATAAAAAATGTCCTCGGGTAAGGATTAAAAAATAATAATAAAAGATCATCAGTATTTTTGAGACATTTATATTTTTATCATAAACTGAGATGTTAAATATTCAGTAAATGTTCTTTTAAAAAATAACCCCTATGATAATATTTCCTTAAGGTTGCTAAAAATTAACTAAGGAGGTAACACATACTATAACAAATCATGTGTAGAAATGTAATGTGTAATTTAGGAATGGTGGGCAAGTAGCAGTATAGAAATAACAATTTTAGTTGGTCTATAAATCTAGCCTGTAAGATGAGGGAAACCTTTTCTCCATGGGGGTAGAGGAAGGAAGAGGCAAAGCTTTACTCATATAAAAATGTATTTTAATAAGCAGCCAATATGTCTTTTTTGCTTTGGACCCTTTGTGATTCAAGTTTTGTGTTTTTTTAAATTGACTTTATAGACAGAGGGCAAGGGAGAGAGAGAGAAAAAAAAACACACACATCAATTTGTTGTTCCATTTATTTATGCATTTGTTGGTTGTTTCTTGTATGTGCCCTCACCAGGGATCAAATCTACAACCTTGGCCTATGGGGATGATGCTCTAACCAACTGAGATACCTGGCCAGGGCTTGTGATTCCATTTTAACAAGCCCGTATTTGTTTGTGATTGGTGTCTGGATTTCAAGAATGACTTGTAGCTGTAGCCTGGCAACCTGAAAAGCTTGACGTAAGCCTGGATGTGTTCCTGTCTGTCTGTCTCCCTCCAGGCAGGTGGAGTGCGCATGGCCACCAGCTGTTGAATGGCAAGGAAGGCTGGGCGATGCTCTCAAGTCTGTCTGTAAGCAGGGGGTTCTCAGGAGGTGACTTCATCTCTGACATTTTTACCATAGAACCGCAAAAACCAAAGAGGATGTTTAATAGACATATTTGTAAGTCCTTAATTCAAAAGTTTGCATTTACACCAAGACAACCATAATGTGAGTAGAAAGGGGAGGGATAATAATTGCAGTTTTGTTAGCAATTCAGAGATTTCCATGTTGTTACTCAGCTGTGTGTAAGAGCAGATGAAATGTGTGTGAAGTGAAACCCCATTTCAGATGAGAATCCCATGCTGGTTCCTTTCCTTTCCTTTCTGCAGTCTGAGCCTGAACCAGTTACTAAAACTGACCTCTTGTCCCTTCTGCCTTAATAGAAGAAATGCAGTCCTACCAGAAGTCTGGGTCATTGGCCTCTGAATGTGGAACAGCTGGCAGGAGCCAGTGTCTTCTGCGGGCTCTTCCCAAATGATTTCATTTTTACAAAATAAGTACACAACAGAAATATTGTCTGTTGGAAAAAATGTTCAATGACCAATAAGGTACCTCCATTCCGAGCATTGCCATGAAACCCTCAAAATAGAATTACTTGAAGGAAAAGTAGGCATGGTGGCACTTTTTAAGAGGAGGGGAAGAAGCTATGAAATTTACAGTCCAATGCTGCTAGAATTTATTGTACTTGCCCATATCAACAAGATGCAACTGTGTTAACGATGTTACCAGGATCAGGAGGAAAAGATGTCCTTGAACTTTGGTGGCATAATTCTCTAGCCAGTATATTTCCCTAGTTGTCATTAAAACACAATACTAACCCCTTCCCTTCCAAAATAAAAAACTTTAATTTTAACAAGAGAACAAAATTCTGTTCAATAAACTATTCATTGAAGCAGTATCTCCCCATAATGGATCACAGCCCTCTAATTTCAATACATTCTCTCTAATTGCTGCTGTCTAGGGGTAGGTTTCGTTTTTATCTCAATTTTTATTTATTGATTTTCAAGAGATTGGAAGGCAGGAAGGGAGAGAGAGAAACATGGATTTGTTGTCCCACTCATTTATGCATTCATTCATTGGTTGATTCTGTATGTGCCCTGACCAGTGATCGAACCTACAACCTTGGGTATATTGGGACGACGCGCTAATCAACTGACCTACCTGGCCAGGGCATGGACAGATTTCATTTTAAACTTACCTTTCATACTTAAAAACAAACAAACAGGCCCTTTGAAGTAATATAAACACTTCAAATAAGAGCTGGATAATACTTATTCTCAATGTAACTCATGAGTCACTGGGACAGTGTGTTTTCACTCCCTACTGTGTGTGGGCAAGACTGCTAGGTGCTTCACAATGGTGATCAGCCATCACAATACCTGTGAGGTGGATGGCACCACCTCATTTTATAGATGAGCAAACTAGCTCTGATTCTTGGGCAATATGTGAGGTGAGCAGAGGCCTGAGCATGCCCAGCGTGCTGACAGCCAATTCAGTTTCCACTTTCAGCTGAGTGCAGAGTTGGTGTGGTTCACAGCTGGCTCCAGGAGCTCAGCACCTGGAACAGGGCAAGTGCTCAATAAATAGTTAAGTGGATGAATGTGCCATTCAGAGAAAAAGTACAAAAGTTGCCTTTATAGATCTTAGAATGGAAAGCCAGTTTCATCCTAATATTAGGACAATGCTCTAACCCAGCGGTCGCCAACCTTTTGGACCACATGGACCACCAGTGGTCCGTGGACCACCGGTTGGCGACCGCTGCTCTAACCAACTGAGGTACCTGGCCAGGGCAGGGCTTTTGTTGTTGTTATCTGAACTAGCAACAAAAGGTTGCTCTGAACCTTCCGTTTCTGGACAATATACTCTAGAGATACCTCCACTAGGGCTACCTTTATAAAAAAAAATCCCAAACTATATAGAACTATCCACAGCTACTTGGAAAATCCCGATCCTGTTCAGCAAGGTATTTTCATGCACAACTTCTGTCACCAGATAGTAAAAGTTGAAAGTCCTCTCAGTGAACCTTGCGTCCAGATCAAATAAAGACTGATGGTGACTCAGGCAGCCAAAACTGTGTACTTCAACTGTGTACTTCTATGGCAGCTGAAACTTGGGAGTGAAACACATGAAGAAAGGGCACTTCTCGGCTTGGCTGGGGTGTCACAGGAGAGCAAAGAGATTGACTTTATGTTACTACTTGATTTAATCTTAAACTTCCACCATAAAATTAAGACAAAGACTTTAATAAACATATTGTTTCCTCTAAAACTCAGTTGAGCCCATGAGAAAGAAATACACACAAGCAATATACCTTCACCAGCAACTGTTTTAAAGATTTAAAAAGTACCTCTTACTTTTACAAATCATTATGTTCAGGGACAGACTTCCAGGCTAAAGAAGTAAGGATTTAGCTCACAATGCAACATATAGAAAAAGAGGCTCAATACTGCTTTCTTGAAATTGTAAGTTAGCTCATTTTCCCCTCATATGTGACTAGTACCAGAAGCCCTTCAAACAGCCAAGTTAAGTTCTTGAGAGTTGGCAAAGATGTCACGTTCCACCTGTCGCCTTTATCTCATTACCTCTTACCTACAAATTGGCCCACTGACTTTGAAAAGTGAAGAAAAAAAAAAGATTTTAATTCAGTAAACCTGCAGCCATTGATATGCTAGTAAATAAACCGAAGTTTAGGATTTCTGGGATGGCTCTGGGGTACCTGAGCCTATTACACTTCCCTTTTATCCCTTTAGCAGCTCCTGGAGACTGACAGCTGGGCATGTCGGGTTCAACCCTGTCCATCTGGTTGTGCCAGCAATGAGGACAGGCTGGCTGCAGAGACTTGGGACACAGCACCAGGTAAGGTTTATCTGAGGATTCCAACTGTGCTTCTACAAGCTAGCAGAAGGGAAAACATGGTTTATAAAACAAGTAAAAATTTTTATTATTCAAAATCACTAATATAAAAATAGTTTCTGCCCTTATTGAAAATAAGTAGCTATATATGCTTATAAAAAGATAGTTTAAAACGCATCTATCACCTACGTGTGGAGGCTGTGGCCTGCTTGTCCGAGCAGCGGTGCCACCTGATACACTGACGCTGTGCGGTGGGGCGGGGTCAGCAGCCTCAGGGGCGGTGGTGGCCCGTCCTGTCCCAGAGGCCGGTCCCTACACTAAGCCAACTCCTTTCAGTCCCATCAGCTGGGCGCTGACTCCGCCTAGAATAGAAGAATCCCTAACAACGGAGAGGTTCCCCTGCGGGGCCCCGGGCAGAAAGACCTGCCCAGGTCACTGTCCTGCTCCTGAACGGAAAGGCCTGCGTAGGTCCCTGTCCCACTCCTCGTGACCGGGGTCCTGGTTCCGCTCTTTTCCGCCGCGGTCCGTTCCGGTGGCAGCAGGCGCGTCGTGGTCGGGCGCGGGAACGCAGGTGCAGCCCACAGGCACCGCCACGTACTCCTCCGCGTAGACGGAGCGGCCCCCCGCACAGCCTGCAGTGCGGCGCAGCACGACCGTGGGCAGCAACACGGGTGCACTGCGGAGGCTGAGGTCCTCCTCTCCGCGCGGCCCGGTCAGGCAGCCTCGGCACAGGCAGTAGGCCTCGGGCAGGAGCCGAGGGTAGCGGGTGGGGTCGTAGGACAGCCTGCGGAGAGAGGCGGGATCAGTGCAAGCTTGTGCAGTGCCTTTGGGATCAGTGCCAGTTTTTGCACACCGGGTCAGTGCGCCCCGGGTTCAGTGAACAGCCCCAGTCACTTCGCATGGGGTCAGCCGGCAGGGCCTTAGTGCAAACTCGGGTGGAGGGAGCGCCACCTGTTGAGCGGGCGGCTTAAGGGGTCCTAGGAAGTGCTGAGGTTACCGCTCACACGAAGCAGGAAGGTTGGCTGGACACTTGACCCCAGGTAGTGTCCATGCGAGACTCAGATCTACAGATCCCAAAGACAGGCTTTACAGCTGGCCTCGGGCCATTCCCTAACATCAGGCTCTTAACTAGTGCCCTTAGAAAAATAACCTCTACACTGTGCACATGCACCAACAGGTGACCCACACAGCCACTGAGTGTGTGATCAGACACCCTCCCTGTGCCAGGACCCCAACTCCAACTCTAAGGGGCCACCCCTGAGCAGAACTGTGCCTGCTCCATCCCACCAGGCTCTGCAGCCTCAGAAAAGGCCACACTGCCAGGGCACTGCCCACACAGGTCCCCAGGACAGGCGACTGTGCATGGGGCTAGCTGACCTGGGCACTAGACCATGTAGACACTGGTCACCTGGCCACTCTAACAGCCACGAGCAAAGACACCTGTCCAGAAGGCCACACGTGAGCCCTATGTCCATCTGTCAGGGTCCATGTGCCCTCCTCTGTGAAGATGCTGAAGTGACATCAGGAAATGTCAGGCCTGGCCAGTCTGGGACATTTGAAAAGTGCGGGAAGGTTTAAACTTAGTCATCTTCATCCTGATCCAGGCCTTCCTACTTTCAGGTCAGATGCAAAGGACCAAGTGTCAAACACCAGCAAACAGCCTGCTCCCACACTGCAGAGGGTCTGGTGCTCCCTGGGGGAACAAGAGAAACCCCAAGCCCCTCTCTACCCTCTGCCTCTTCCTCCCCAAAGCAAGGAAGCCATTAATGGGGACCTAGGACTCCTCCAGAGTTTCTCTTTTCAGAGGGTGGGATTATCCCCCTTTCTCACAGGATTGCCATGACTCCAAGTTCTCATTTCCATTAGTCTGCCCATTTAAAACTTGTGTGATTGTCTTATGAATGGTTTTCTTTCTTCTGGAGCTTAGTGCTGGGGACCCTAAAATCTCAGAATCAGAGCTACGACTTCTCCAACCACTCAAGCAACACCCCCATTTGCAGACCTACCATGTGCCAGTCCAGGAAGGCCCCCAAAGTGCTGACCAATGGGAGCCTGAAATAAATGGAAAAAATGATAGATGCTTAAAAGTTTCTGAATCCTAGAACTTGAGGTGTGCATGGTTTCTCCTCCATTTCTTTTACTTCGTGCTCCTGGCAGCAGTGAGGCTGCAGTACCTTAGGCATCCCAGGAAGGGCCTGGCCAGGGCTCCTCTGACCCTTGTGCCTTGCATAGGTCCTTCAAGTGACTGGTTCTGTGGACTAGTCCTCACTGTTAATGACTAAATGCATCAACCAGGTTGAGAGGTTTCCAGTTAAGATGTTGGGACTGTCTAGTAAAAGGAAGCAAGGGGGCAGGAGCAGCAGGGAGTGGGAGGGGTGGAGTGGGTGAGGGACAGCTGAGGCTGTTGCAGGAGCGAAGTGGATGCTGCTGCTGGGCCGGTGCTGGGGCCAGGGAGGGCGTGACAGGATTAAAGAACAGGATTAGAGACCATGCCACTGAGGCCCAAAGAGGATGGATGGCCCTGGACGGGTAAAGAGGGTACATGAGTCCTTCTGCTTGGACCAAACATCTTCAGACACTGATGACTAGGATGGCTGGGCAGAGAAGAGTCTAGAAATGGTATCTTCATGCAATGACAAGTTTACTCAATGCCAACTATGTGCCATTTACAGAATGGGAGAGAGCTAAGATAGTTTTGCCTAAAGGGAGGTGCTGTGTGGGTGTCCATGTCTCAGAGGTGGTTGACACCTGGGGGGTAACACTTGTGGAAGGAGAGGACTTGAGGGAGGGCAGGTTGCCCTGAAGAGAGGGTGGGTCACGGTTCAACTGGAGGACCTGCCACTAGAACATTCTAAAGCTGAGAGGCACATTTCCTGTTTGAGTCATCAGGGATTCCAAGACTCCCACTGGGGTGACCAGAAGGATGAAGGTAGTAATGGGGGAGCAAGGAGGCCTCAGGCACAGGCAACCCTGCTGGTGGTGTGCGCACAGGCGAGGTCTACTAATTTCCTTCTCATTGCTGCACTATGGGGAGAGAGGCAGACTCAACCATGAATACTAATACTTGTGTTATGTGCAAACATGAGTGCAGTGGGGGCTGCCTACAAAATGCAAGTGTCTCTGCCACCAAGACCCTTACATTTACAGATTCCACTCCTCACATTCTGACTCGCACTCAAATTAGACTCAAGCTTCTCATCATTGCTGTTCCCTCGGTACTGCCGTCCAGGCTTTTGTAGTACAGTGAACTCTATCCTTATGAGGACTGACAAAGCCGTCCATCCCTACCTTTCCCACCTTCCACCTCCTCTGCAATACCTCATTCCTACCCAACTGGGGTGCTGAGGCACAGGCTTCCTCGGACTCCCTCATGCTGGGGGTTCACATCAGGAAGAATCCAGAGTCTTCTGCTTTGCTTTCAGAGGCCTGCATGACGTGGTCCTTCCTGGTACCTTCCCCACACCTCTTCACCATCTTCCCTTCCGTGCAACGTACCCCCAGGCACCCCACAGCGGGATGTGCCCTGCATGGGCTGTAGCTCAGCTCTGCTCAGGGTGCTCTTTCCCAAAACCAATATCAACTCAGTGAAGACCCACTATATTTAAGGTTCAATTCAAGGCAATATCTTAAGTTTTCCAATTTCCTTAGTTGAATTTAATCTGCTCTTTCCCCATATTCTCATAACACCTTGGACCTCTCAGAGAAAGAGATGGTGAGCTGACAATGGTTTCCCATTCTTCATACCTGGAGGTTAATATAAGGCCCTAACTGAACATTTGAATGAAAGGGAATTTCTAAAATCTCCAGTCATTCTCAACATTTATTCCACAAGCATCTGCATGCCGATAACGTTTGGGGCAGTGGGGTGTCAATGAATCATCTATCCAAGGACTCATTTGGGGGATAAATGTGCAAAGAAACACCTAGACAGCTGACCCTGCATGGCAGCCAGGGGAGGCTTCCTGGCAAATGTGGTTCTCGGGTGCATCTGTTCAGAGGAAGAAAGGAAAAAAGGCTGTTAGGGCAGAGGCCAAAGCTGAGAGATGAGGGCCCAAGTTACAGTTAGAACTGCAAGGAAGGAAGGCAAGATAGAGCTGGGGTGACTGTGGAGACTAGACCAGTAAGAGTCTTGATTCATAGCAGGGAACTTGGGGTTTAACTCTGAAGGTGATGAGAAGAGTGTTAGAGAGGGAAGTGTCCTTATCAGAGTATGCTAGTGGATCCCTCAGACAATGGGATGGAAGATGATCTAGAGCTGAGAGAGGTACTGGTGGGAAGGTAGAGATTTTCAAATTATTAGCATATAGAGCAGGGGTGGGGAACATACAGCCCGTGAAATCATTTGGTCTGGCCCTGCCAAGGCATTAGGGATGAATTAATGAAATGTTTGACCAAATATAGCAGGACTAGAGGCCTGGTGCATGAAATTCGTGCACTGGGGAGTGTCCCTCAGCCCAGCCTACACCCTCTCCAATCTGGGACATCCCTCTCATGATCCGGGACTGCTGGCTCCTAACCACTCACCTGCCTGCCTGCCTGATCACCCCTCACCGCTTCTGCTTGCCAGCCTGATCGCCCCCAACTGCCCTCCCCTGCAGGCCTGTTCACCCCCAACTGCTGGCCTGATCACCCACAACTGCCCTCCTTTGCCGGCCATCTTGTGGTAGCCATCTTGTGGTGGCCATCTTGTGACGACGTGAGGGCATCGTGCAAGGGCGCAAGGGCCACCTAGGCTTTTATTAATATAGGTAATTTTTAAGTTGATAATTTTGTATGGCCTGCAAATGATGTCATAAATATCCAAATGGCCCTTGGCAGAAAGAAGGTTCCCCACCCCTGATATAGAAGGTGGTTCAATGAAATTGTTCAGGGCGTTATGTGAAGACATATCAAGTAAAAGGCAGGAAAATCAACTTCTAAGGGACAAGAAGTCTAATTGTGGAGACTGATAGAGGCAGCAGTGGCCTCCCTGGAGCCAAGATGGGCAGAGGCTTGAGAAGAGGCTGGTCCAACTGGAATCTGATTTAGCCTATTTACTGTTAATACAGGTATGGAGAACACACTCAAAAGTACTATGAGGATATGACCAACAGCATATAGAATGTAGGAGACTCTGCACACATTTCATTCCAAAGGGGAAAAAAGAGGCAGGGGGCCTGCCTATTAAAGAGCAGTCTCAAGCAGCCCTTAGTGACTGGATTGGGGGAGAGGCTATCCTCCAGTATCCTAGGAACCAGAGCAATACTTTCCCCTCACGGGAGAACTGATAAAAACTCTAGGTTTCCAGCCAACCCCGTTGGTCTCCATACAAGGACCTATGTTCAGACAAGGCAGAGTAATATTTTGGGCCACTGGCTGAGGACTAGCTCTGGGACAGGGAAACACACCCACCATATTCTCTGAAAACCAAACAGCACCTCCCCCACCTAAAGCTCTTACAGAAACAGACCTTTGAGTTATTAAGATTGACAGCTGGCTAGCAGACAAAGGCAGGCAGAGGTGGAGCCTGAGGAACCAGGGGAAGTGCGCTGATCCAGCCCTGGGCCCCATGCTACTAACAAACCTACTTTAGAGGGCAAATTAGCCCCTCCTGCTTGCAGCCAAGGCCTGTGGAGACAGACACAAGTGGTGGATTGGTGGATGGCTAGGAACATCAAGCAGGTTGCTGAAAGCCAAAAGATAGTACCTGACTGTGGTTACCACCTAAGTACCTAACAGGAAGCCCAGAATTGGCAGACAGAACAGAAGAGTGGGATCCAAAGCGAGCTCCCAGGGGGCACTAAA